AAGTTCAGCAGTTCAAGCTCACCAGTTGCTCCTTGGAAACCTATATAGGGTTGCTATGGGTCAGAATTGACTCGACGGCACTTCACAACAACAACAACATTTATCATCTATTTTCATAATAGCTCACATACTTGACATGTTTACTTCATGTTCTGTGTTTAACACTCTGTCATTTTACCCAAACAATAATCCCATGGGACAAACTACAAATACTCTCCTTAATCTGTAGAATCTTTACTAACTGGCTAAATCAGATGCAATATTCCATGAATATCATGTAAGCAGCAATTCAGAAAAAAATAAAATAAAAGAATCCTGGAACAAATTCTAATGCAAAATAGGAAAGGAGATGGTTTCTTTCCCTCTAGGAAATATGTCTAATGGGGGTTACACACTGTATGTTTAATAAGAATACTTGATTGTGAATAGCATTTATAGTTTTGGAATGGGGAAATGGAAATGAATGATGTGGCCTAGAAAGGAAGGATACGGAAGTAAATGGTATATATATTTAATAATACAGGTCATAACTTTGTTTATTTTTAAATTAATATGCAGATCAACTTCTGAAACGGGACATGGAAACTTGCACAGTTGATTCAATTAAGACAAATGGTATGTCTCAAAGTTTTACCGGAAAAGAAACTCACAGAGAAGATGAAAAGAGATTTCAAGTTGTTATGCAACGCATGAGCACCATAGAGAAGAGAATCCAAGATATTTCAGATATGGAAGCCACCCTAGCAGACTCAGAGCATTTCCAAAATTTCTGTGTGACAACTGAACAGAGATTTAATTTTGTTCTTTTCCTGCTCAGTAACTTAACTTCCTTAGTGAATGAACATGAAGGCACAGTAGACTATATCTCCAAGTCCTTAATAAGTCTGAATACCACTTTGCTTGGTTTACAGCTTAATACAGAGACACTGAATAGCAAAGTTCAAGAGAATACATTGAAACAACAAGAGGTAAGGTTTGTTTTGTTTTGCTTTGTTTTGTGTATCAGAAAGTTGCATACTACAATTGAATATAGCCAGCACATCCTGAATCCTCATGTAGTACAGGAAATCAAAAGCTGTAAACCATGTTTCAACACTATCCTGTTTATCCCAATGTCTCTGGCAATGGTTCAAAACAGTCTCGAATAAATTTACCTTTGTACCTCTCCAGGAATCCACATCCCCTCCCCACTTGCACTGGAAATAAACTTAAAGGTATATACATATATTTAACTTTTAATTTTGAATTGAGTGAAGATTTAGAGGCAAATCATCAGTTTTACATTCAACAAGTGATACACTTTGTTTCATTACAATAATTGTAATCCCCTTCATGTACCATTAGTTAACAATATTTGCCTTTATTCACTTAAACTCTTGCATTCTTTCCCATCTCTTCAGCTATAGACTTAAAGTATTTTAATCTTGCAATATGGTCAGATTATCTCTTTTTGGCATTTAACTATAATTTAAATTTTAGCTGAGTATATCTGTAGAGTTAGGCACTTTGGGAATTTTACAACAGACCCAGTATTTTAACTCATCAAAGAGTGGGAACTTTATTCACATGGGAACCTACAAAACATACGTATTACAAAATGAGTTTGCCACTTGTGAGAAATATATGTACGTTTTTACAGGTACTTTGTTGTTGCTAAGTACCTTTGAGTCAGTACCAACTCACAGTGATCTTGTATAAGGTTACTGAGTAGGGGCTCATGGGTTTAAACCATCAACATTGCAGTCCAGTGACTTGTCCTACTGTGCCACACCAAGACACATTTACATGTATAGAAAGCTGTATTTAGAGAATTAAATTTTGAATAATGTAAACAATGTTTTATTGTGATCACCAGCGATTCCTTAGACTCCCTATGCAGGGTCACTATGAGTCTGACACACTTGATGCACTGAACAACACTAGCAACAATGAGAAAGAAGTTAAGAAGCAAATTATTTGTTTTTATTTTATTCTTTTTGTTACTTTTCATGAAAAAGATACATGATGAAAATTTTACTACTCAAATGAAAAAAATCTTCATATTACAAAATATATGACACCTAGGATCATTGAGGAGTCCTGGTGTGGCACTGCGGGTTAATACGCCAGACTGCAAAGCCATTTGAACTGCAAGGTTGATGGTTCAAGCTCACCAGCTGCTCCTCTGAAACGCTATACAGGGTCACTATGGGTCAGAACAGACTCCAAGGCACTTAACAGCACCAAGGATCATTGAAATGTAAAGTTTATAAATTACCTAAGAGAGGCTGGTATTTTTATAATAGATATGTTACAATAGATCCGTTCTTAAGCAATAGGGCTTTATGTGTAGATTCAAGGAGCTCTGGTAGAGTAGTGGTTACGAATTGGGCTGCTAACCTCATGGTCAGCCATTCGAAACTGCCAGCTGTTCCACGGGAGAAAGATGAGACTCTCTGCTCCCGTAAAGATTTACAGCCTCGGAAACCCTGTACAGGGTCGATATGAGTCAGAACTGACTCCAAGGCACGTAACCACCACGACCACCATGTGTAGATTCATAATTACACACTAGTGATTTTAAAAAATGAATGCCACATACTAATAAGCATCTGACGTTAGGGCATGAGATGAAAACAATGAATTGTTTTACTGGTGCACAGACTAAAAAGCTGGAGAACTGGAATAAAATGGTCCTTAATTATGAAATGATAGGTATAATCACTCCGCCTTTTTTATTTCTTATGTGGTCCACATCTCACTGTGTTACGGAGTAATGACGTTGTTATTTTAACATGGGGACACGTTCCACACAGTGTATTCTGATAGCAACCTTGTTTCTATTCCATGTCCAGCTTCCAAAATCTGTTGGTGCTTCTCATACTCTTAGTAACTGCCTGAGCTTATTAAGTGTTATTGAAATGTCAGGGACTGAGGTTACAAGAGGTTTAGAGAAAATACATAAAAAAGAAACTGTCCTTACAGTCAAGGGAAATTGGAGAAAAGGGAAGAGAAATATTTGTTACAGGAGTAGACACTGATTGAGTTGAGAGGAAGAGGGAGGGAGAAGAAATAGTACTTCATGTAGAAACAATGGCAGAAGGGCACTGAGAGGAGTGATAGGGAAAAGAGCAATGAGATGAAAAACAAGGGCATATTTGATCCTGAAAGTGCCTCAAATCTAGCAGAGGTGATAGAATTCAGATTATAGTAATCACACAAACCATTTAAAATCAGAGGAAATAACAAACAATTTTGAAGTAATAACTAATGAAAACAACCAACATCTGTTTGAGTTTGATTAGATTGCACTTAGGTTTTGTGGTGAGTGAGGAGTTCAACATTAGACAGGGTGACACAGGAAATGATGGAAGTTCCAAAGCTGGTATTTTTAAAGATGGTAGTCACTTGTAGAAATTTAGAAGCTAAGTCATATGCCTGTGTTTGCATGTGTGCACTCACACTAAAAAGAGACAATGGAACTGACATCCCATTACCTAGAGAATTCTATTCATCTTTAAATTTTTTAGTCTAATGCAAGAATAAATAGACTAAGTGGATCCCTGAGTCAGTAAACACTGTTTGAAGTAAAGGTTTATAAATAATATCAGCATAATGCTTATCAAGAGAAGACCAAACATTAAGTTAGAAGAGAAAACAAAAACACTGCCACAAAATAGAAGCTATGGATGAAATGTATCATGAATCCACTTTTATTGCATTACCATATTATATGGAAATTTTGAAGTGATCATGGAAAAAGGAGATGGAGTTGGAGATATACTAATTTTGAGCAAGGTTGTGGCTGAGACAAAGGACAAGACTCTGTGCTCTCAGATAATGTTTCTAAGGAGGCCAACCTGGCTTTACTTCTATGTCTTTCCAAAGGCTTGAAACCAGAACTGTCATGATCCTCACTCCTCAGTTTATAGTGCTACCAAGGAGAGCATAATATTCTTTTCATATCTGGTTTAAGGGACATACACCAATGGTTTATTTCTATAGGTGGATGGGAAATGAGAATCCATCCCCAGTTAAATACAGAAATAATTATAAAATGATAAAACATGCTATGAAGATAGACAATGAGATACAAATAAATCAGAGAGGCAGAAAATATAACCTGAAGAAATTAGAAGGCTTTGTATGTCTAAAAGAGAAAGCTCATCTCCACTAAGAGAAAGCCAACCAAAGGAATGAAGAGAAAAAATAATAAAGAAAAATATAAGTTGCCAAAAAGTTTGTTACTATCAGTTTAAGGCATCACAATTTGAAGAGCAAAATAAATAGAATTGACTCTGGTAGTGTAGTGGTAATGAATCGTGCTGAGAACCTCAGGGTCAGCAGTTTGAAACTACCAGCTGTTCCACAGGAGAAAGATGAGTCTTTCTGCTCCCATAAAGATTAACAACCTCAGAAACCCTGTACAGGGTAGCTATGAGTTGGAACCGACTCCATGACACATAACAACAACAAAAAAATGATTGTTATATATATATATATACTACTTACATCTACTATTATACTATGGAGTACTGGCGTCATGCTATAAGTTAATGCAAAATCGATTTGAACCTCATGGTTGGTGGTTCAAGCTCACCAGCTGCTCTTCAGAAACCCTATACAGGGTCGCTATGTGTCAGAAACAACTTGACAGCACTTAACAACAACAACAACAAAAAACAATTACAATATAGGACTACTGGTGTGGTGCTGTAAGATAAGCACTGGACTTTCAACCACAGGTCAGTGGTTCAAACCTACCGGCTCCTCCTTGGAAACCCTATACATTGTTGATATGAATCTGAATCAACTTGATGGCACTTAACAATAACATTACACTGTAAGGGAAGTGCGGTTGTGCCATATAATAAGTACTGGACTCTGAACCACAAGGTCCATAATTTGAGCCTGCCATCTGATCCATGGAAGAAAGATAAGGCTTTCCACACCTGTGGAGAAGCCTAGGAAACCATATCTAGGGTCACTATAAGTAAGAACCAACTCCATGACACTTAACAACATTACACTATAACAGAAGCTGCTGCTCTGTACACCACTGTTTTGGTTCTAACTCATAGTGACAACCCTCTACAGGGTTTCTGAGACTGTAAATCTTAATGAGAGCAGAAAGTCTCATCTTTTTCCCACAGACCAAGTGATGGATTCAAACTGTTCATCTTGCAGTTAGCAGCCCAATGGGTAACTCACTAGGCTACCAGGGTTCCAAACAAAGTGATAGTGCCTAATATCTGGGTAAATGTTAACTCTTATGCAATTAGCAGGTCGGTGATTCAAGCCCACCAGTCGATCCCCAAAAACCCTACATAAAGTTATTATAAGTTGCAACCGACTCAACGACACTTAACACATGCAATTAATAAGTTTAAAAATTAGTTCCATATTTTTTGAAGGTAATGTGGCAATATTAAATACAGCTTTTAGAGCTCATTTTAGATCAAATCCACTTCCAAGAAGCTCTCCTATAGAAGCACTTGTACCAATATATAAAAATATCTGAAATTGTGTTCACTGAATCATTGTTTAAAATTGTGTATGAAAATGCACATCTCAAGACTGGAATTTTAAAAGCTCATGAGTGGTGACCAAGGTGCCACTATTGGTCTCTCCCTGTGCAAAGGAAAGAAGAGTGATGAATATTGAAGAGCTGGAATCAATCAGTCCAACAGACTAATGGAACACATGATCTTGAGACCAGAAGAACTAGATGGTGCACAGCTACTACTTTCAACTGTTTTGAAAAGGGTGACATTAGAAGGCTCTGGGTAGAGAGGGAGAAAATGTAGAACAAAATTCCAAATTACAAAAAAGACCAGGCTTACTGGTCAGAAAGAAACTGGAGGAACCTAAGACTATAGCCCTTGTTCACCATTCAGGTCTGGAACGGAACTCATCCTTGTGGTTTAATTTTGAGCTAAATAGTAGCTAGATATATAGGGGGACAACAAAACTAGTGAGGCATGCACATCATGGAATGGCCAACCATTCAAGATGAAAAGGGCAGCATTTACCTAAGGAAAAAATTCAGAAGAGGTAGGAAAGAAAGTGGAATGAAAACAAAAATCACAGGGAGGAAGCAGGGTAACTGATGTTCCGTGGAGGTGATTATAATCACAGAGATGAAATGAAATGTATCATTTGTTGAATGTAAAACTAATGGTCTGTTCACTCAATTCACAATAAAAAGCTTAAAAACTAATGCACAATTCAAAACATCTATCAACAGAAATCTCAAATAAATTATGAAAAAACATCAATACAATATCATACTATTAAGTTGTTTAAATTAAGGTAGTCCCTAATAACAATAAAATATTCTTAATGGAGTCCTTGTGTAGCTCTGTAGGATAAAGCACTGGACTGAAAAGTTGGTTTGAATCATAGGGTCGGAGGTTTAAACACACCAGACACTCAGAAACCCTATACAGGGTCTCTATGAGTTGGAACCAACTTGACAGCACATAACAAAAACATACATTATTGAATAAAACATGAAACCATCATAGTCCAGAACAAAGTATTATATATGTACTAACTATAAAGGTATATGAAAATATTTAGTTATTCTTTATGTTCTGTACTATTGAGAATCATGACAGCAAACTTCAGTTATTATTATTAAACAGCCTAATGTATAAAGAAATTATATTCACCACATAGGAATATGTTGACTATTCTAAGTAACAATTGACATTTCACTTTCAGATAAATTACAAACCTTACAGCATTGTTGTTTTTGTTGCAAGTGCCTTTGAATTGGTTCCAATTTATAGAGACCCTGTATATGTCTTTAAAACTTTACAGGAGTAAGAAACGTCATCTTTCTCCTGCGGAGCAGTATGTTGTTGTTAAGTGTCTTTGAGTCCCTTAGGGACCGGTATAGGGTTTCCGAGGATCAGTCCAACACATTATCCCGCAGTGCCACACCACAGGGGGTTAGCAAGTATTTAAGTAGTTTTATAAATTTTGATATTTATATTTGAGAATAGAAGCATAATTTAGATGTGTTCAACTAATTTTGAAATCAGACATTCAGTCATTTAAGTCAAAAGGGGAAATGTGTCAGAACTAAGCAATTGTTTTGAATTCTCCAAATTCTGTACTTTTATTCCATATTATTCCCTAATATTACTCATTTTTAAAAACTTGAATTTCTAGGGCACTCAAAACTTACATATGTAATAATTATGTGTGTAACAGAAAGTGCATGTGCTTGCTTATGTTTCACAGGAAATCAGAAAATTAGAGTATCGTGTATACAATGCATCAGCAGAAATCATGTCTCTGAAAGAAGAACAAGTATATTTGGAACAGGAAATAAAAGGAGAAGTGAAATTATTGCATAACATCACTAATGATCTAAGACTGAAAGATTGGGAACATTCTCAAACATTAAGAAATATTGCTGTAGTTCAAGGTAAAACATCTTCTCATTCTTCCAGAAAAACAATGTTGTTATTAAGTGTCATCTAGTTGGTTCTGACTGTATAGTTTTGGAGGAGCGGCTAGTGAGCTTTAACTGCCAACCTTGCAGTCCAAACGAACACTTCAGGCCAACACATTAATGTGCAGAGCCACAGTATGTGCAGAACAAATGCAAGAATTTGGAATTCAGACTCCTGCTGCTTAAGATAGTTTGTTAGTATATATTTTCTACACACACTCAGAGGAAGGAACCTTAAGATCAAGACAGGGTAACATGATAGCATCACCAGTAGCCTGGTATACTTTAAATAGAAGGAAATGAATGAAATAACTCATAGGAGCTAATGAGTGGTTCCTTGTTGAAATTAGACCATATGTACTATGCTCTGTGTGCTCTATGTCCTTATCACTTATTTTTATTGTTGTATAAATTATTCCTGTCACAACTCTACTATATTATTGCAGTTGTCTACAATTTTTTCCCCTGATGTAACATTTCAGAGAATAACACTTTCTATATTTATGTTAGAATTGTTTCTAAAGGGAAACCTCAGATTGCAAAAGCCTCTTTATAGCCTCCTTATGAGTTATACATTCTTCTCTTTGACACTCAAGGTCTTCCACATTGTGTCGCTTTCTTAATTTGTATGTCTCATGTTCTTCCCTTCTCTCTTTTTTATATACTAATTTTAGTCTATTTCTAATATACCCTGTAATTCCAACATCCTGTTTCATGCCTTTTCCTTAAACTGAAATAATATTTTCATTCTTCTCCTAACATCTGTAAATATCCTATTCAATCTATCTATCTATCTATCTATCTATCTATCTATCTATCTATCTATCTATCATTCAAGGTATATCTAATATGAAACCTCTTGTACTAAGTCCTGTCTAGCTCCAAAATAGTAATAATCTTGCTGACATTTATAATTCGATTGGCAAATTAAATATTCTCTTAGAAGAGACTATGTAATATGGAAATTAAATCTAAAAATGTGCCAGCTTTTCTTAGAGCTTAAAATTATGGGCTAGTCTCTGGAGCCCCTGTAGTACCTAGACATTAAACAAATGTTTACTGTGGTGTTGGTGGTGGTGTGCTGTCTAGTTAGTTCCAACTCATAGTGACCCTGTATAGGGTTTCCTAGGCTATCAATCCTTAAGGAGCAGAAAGCCTCATCTTTCCCCTGCAGAGCAGCTGGGAATTCAAAGTGCTCACCTTTCAGTCAGCAACCCAACACATAACCCAATATGCCACGAGGGGGTCTTTAAATGTTTAATAACTATTTATTAAAACATGATGCTAGAAAGACATATGATATAAACAAATACTTTATCATCGTCTTTATGTAAACCATTGTTTAATAACCATGGAGGCACAGGTTTAAAAAATTCTAGTACATTATTCACATAATTGCAATTAAACTTTGGCTATTGGGAAGTTTTGTGTTGAAATCATGGATTAGAGACACTTTTGATATGATTGTGAAACAGAATTTTGAAGATTTTAAATAGTAACTAAGAGCAAAGAATCTGTCTGAGATGAACGTTCAGTTTAATCTTAAATTTTTCATGTTCTTTTTATAATCCAGCAGAATAGATTACCACATTTTCTCACTATTGATGTAAATATTATAAAAAAAGATTTTTGTTAAAGAAAACCAACCCTGAAGGGTATGGTATGTGATAGTAGAATCAGCAAAATACATTTATACTAGATTTAAAAAATTAAAACATTCTAGCAACACATGAAGAGAAGATATGAGCTATAGCATGGATGTAGCAGACACCTGTTTTGGAAAGTAGCACTAGAGCATTATCTTGGTAATAGTTTCCAAAGTTCTAAAAAGAGTAAAATGATTAGTGAAATCTAAAAGACACTATGAAAACACTTACTGAAAACCTTCCCACATTTTATTTTACACAGTGAAAGAGATACAACAATGTGTAAAAATGAAATTTATGATATAATATTGTTATTGTTGCTAAGTGCCATCAAGTCAGTTCTGACTCATAGTGACCCTCTATAGGGATTCCAAGGAACGGCTGGTGAATTTGAACTGCCAGCCTTGCAGTAAAGTGCTTATCCTACAGTACCACATTGATAACAGATAAGGTAAATATCAACTGAAGAATAAATTAATAAAAACCTAACACTCAGCACACCTTGTTGTTGTTGTTGTTGTTG